CTTTTGGGAAAGCTATTGGTTCTTCTCGGAGCAATTAATTAGCAAATAATTAGCTATTAATTCCCACGTGAAGAAATAGTTCGATTATTCCATGTTTTTCATGTTTCCGTCCTGCGATCAGCACTAGGGGTGGCGATTCACCCCTTTAGGTGTGAGCAAGAAAATTGAAATTTGGTTTTTCCGCGAGCTGTTAATTAGCAATAATTTCTGGTATATAATTCTTCGATGAAGATTCACTTAACAATTATTTTTTTATCGTGGCAGTGCTAGCTTTATACAAAGCCAAAATTTTGCAACAAATTTTATTGAATTGTGCTAAAGTGGCAATTCCAGGTTTATATACATTCGGAGCGGAACCGCTACCGTTGTCGGGCGGAACGACGACAGCATCGAGCTTTCAGATTAGGCGACTCGCCGAGCTGTCCCCCGGGGCGCCACTGTCGATAACGAGGGTGCAGCGCCTCTGGCGGCGGTCGGCCGATACCAACTTTCGGCATTGACCCGAAAGCTAGTTGGCCCTTTCACGTGCCAGCAATCACATTTTTGCCCAACCGCAAAGTTAACTAATTGCCGCGGCTATAAAATATTGACCCAGTTGCCGGGAACTTCGGGACTCAGTCAAATTAAATGGCTGCTCTCCCTCTCCGTATTCCGCCCACCTTTCCGCCCGGTCGCCCCTCCTTTTCCCGCCCGTCTGCCGCACTCTCCGTTTCACTCTCTCCAAACGCGCCGACGTTTTCGCGCCCGGCTTGCCCCGGAGGAGGTCTTCGCCGAGATTTTACCCATCTTCGCTCCCGGTGCTCCCGAATAAAAGGCTCGGCCGACTCGGAAAATCGGGACGAGATTCCTCCGGGATTTCGGAATTCGAGAGAATCGCCCTCCCGCCCTCTCGGCCTTTCTTTCCGGAGCCCTCCCGAGACGTCCGAGACCGTAATGTTTGCCAATCGTAATTTCGCCCGAAACTACCCCTGCTCCGTCGAAATGGGGCAGGTCCGTTTTACGCCGAAGACCCATTTCCATCCTCCTTGATTCAACACCGCGTAGAATATGCAACATTATACGAGATTTCCATGCACCGAGTGGACTCGTGTACCTGTGGGTAAACCGGAGGAACTTCCGACGCTACCCATCAAGTGGAATAGACGTAAATTAATCGTCTAAATTAGGTCTACAGGTATAGCAAATGTACATCGTCTATCATCAACCTAATAAAATATCTAAAGGATATATATAAATATTTATGTCTATTGTAGGCGAAAATTATATACCCACTATTGATCTACAAATATCCACTTATTTCTTGACGCATACAAAATATATAATATCTCCAGTAGACGTCTATCAAAGGTTAATCAACATCGTAGGAAATACGTTTAGGAAAGTAAAGAGACACCTCATGTAACCTAACATCTTTCGTGCATATTTAATGTTTATACCTAAATTCTAACTTCCATCTATTGTAGATATCTACGATATGTATTACGTACCGTGTCCGGACATCTAGCCTTTGAGTGTATCTACAATAGAGTTCATAGATATCTATATATCTTACATACGTTCAATGAACGTTTATATACGATTAATTTACGGATATTCCACGTTTTACAGTGCCTGGGTATTTCCGGTCTCAAATTTGAACCCATTGGACCGCCCTTTCGAATTGTCCTCGTTCAATGGACCTCGAAAAGGGTTGGCCGAAACGATCTTGCATCTCCCAGGGTCTTCTTCTCTTTCTCTCCTCCTCGAATACGCGATCAACGTCGAGGGTTACTTTTCAAAGAATTTGAAAAATCTCTCCCAGAAGGAGGGAGAGAGGGATCCGGGGGAAAGAGTAACCGGGGATTCTCCTCGGAGGATGGCTGGAAATTTCGCCGGAGATCAATCCCGGAGATATCCGACGAATAGTTGTCCATCTTCTTCCGGGCGCGGGACGTACGTCGCGTTTTTCTCTTTGCCTCCTCGTCCGCCCCCCCCCCCCCCAGAGCCGGCGTCTCTCTTTCTCTCGGCATTTGCCTTCGAGTACTCCGGCTAAATGCACGGCGTGGGTAAAAACCTGCCTTCTAACACACCACTTTGCGATTCCCTCGGCACAGTCGACCCGCTCGGAGATACGGAACGGGAGCGGTGCGGAGGAACGACGTCGGGGGGTGGTGGGTGGCCTCGTGAAAGATTCACCCGCGGTCGGTCAGGAGGCCTAAAATATTAATCCCGCGTTCCTCCCGGTCCTCGCGATATCGTATTCTCTGACCTCTCCGTTCCGAATTTCAAATTTCTGCCCGAGGCCGGAAGAAGATTCCGTATCGGGAAGCGGTTTTCCGGGTTTGCAGGTAATTACGAGCGGAAGGAATCTCCTGGTTGCCACCCTCCTCCCTTTAACCCCTTAACGCGCAGATTTCTTGAAAAAAACCGGCAAAAAAAATCAATTTTTTTTTATGTAAAAAAACACTAGAACATTGTCTTGGCAAAAAAATTAAATGAACGGGATAAAGGCAAAACAAGTGTTGTATGCGCTTCTATGCCGAAACGATGGGACTACGAGGTCTCGGAGGGAAAATTTAATCGACCTGGAAATCACAGATGGCGCAGGGGGTCCCTTTGCAGTCAATTAGGGTCCCAGAAACCATGAATCCAGAGGATTTCTGGAGTTTTACTTCGATTTCTTGATATTTATTGTTGGAAAACGACAGGTGGAGTATGCCATTTGGTACTATACCCAATATAATTCGATACAGCTGTCGATATAAAAACAAACGTCGGCAACGTAGGCATTTAGAAAAATCATCTTTAGCGACGTCGATCAAGTTCCTCGACGTGTTTCACTTCACCGTAAAGGAGGAAAAAGGGAAACGGGAGAGGTCAATCACGGGACGTTGGCCAGGAATGGGCGCAAGACGCGGTGGGCTCGTAATCGGAGATTTAAATACAGAAGGAAGAGCGATAAAGAAGGGCTCGCTTTCCAGCGGCGTTCCTGCCATTTCCGGGCGAGCCGGATAGTATCGACTCGGGGTGCACGCGAAAGTGGGTGGTGAGGGGGAGGTAAATGGCGAGAGAGGACCTCCTCCCGAGGCAGATCCAACAAAGTGGATAAGGAACGACGATCGCGACTCCAACTCTTTGTGGCCGCCCTCCTAGGGGGATTCGTCCTCGGGGCCATCGGCGCCGATAGCATTTGCATATCGCCCGGGGAAAAAATCGTCCTCGTAACACCTGGACGATCGACCGGGACCGGAGGAGAGAAGAGATCCGTCTCCGAGGAGAATGGATACTCTCGATCCAACTCTCGAGACGTTCCTACCGTGAAAGGGGATCAAAAAATGAACCCGTCAACCCCCCGGGGGTATCCATTCTTCCCGAAGCTAAGGGCTGCCCTAACCCCCCAATTTCCTCGGCTGGTGGGATTGTTTAATCTGAATTTTTTGGGGGAGGAGAGACGAATCTCCTGTCGAGGAACGGTCGTAATCGGGGAGGGGAGAGCTTTTGTCTCTCGCGTTTCGCCTCCTGTCGCACCTCGCTCCTTGTTTATTGGCAGGCTAAATGGGGAACGTAGGGGCGGAAACGCGGTAAAGATGTCCTCGGCTGTCTATGCAAATTTCTCGAGGGGGTCAGGCGGGCTTCGCAACGAGGTCGCGGTTCCTGGGGGTGGCGGCGTTACCCGGCTCGTCTAGTGAAAGAGTTCGGCCGCCTCGCGAGGAATACTAATTAAAGACTGGCGGAATGAAATTAGTTGGTCGCGGTTTGCGACGGTCCACCGGGGGGCCGAAGAAGGGGGCGCGTCGCTTATGATAATATAATAATGCTTCCTCGGCTTGGGTGCTACCGCTAAGCTCATTATGCATTTAGTTCCCAACTTCAATTGGATTCGTGCTTACCCCCCTCCGGGCCAAGCTCTACGTTACCTTCCTTCATCTTCGATCTTTGAGCTTTTCGTCGGGACGAACCGCTTTTTAAGTTTTCCGGGCTTTGGGACGACTAGGGGAGGCGAACTTCTCGAGAGAGAATCGCGTTCGGTTTTAGGATAATTCAATGTGTCGGGAATTGATAAAGAGGGAAGGAAAATTCCGGGCAAAAAATGATCCGATAAAATCGGAACGTTTTCTATTACGCGCGCGGTCTTGTGGCGTTGCGATGGTAAATTTTCTTTTTTTCGCCACGGAAACGCTTTCCACTTCTCGCCGCGGGATATTTCCGAAGGAGGCTTTCGATCTCCTCGACTTGCGCTTCTAATTAAGTGTCCCAATTTCTGAAGCCCGTCGATCCGGCGGAATTCCCGGCAGGAAGGATCGCTGCGGATTCCGCGAATTCTCGAGTCGCTTTGCGAGGGGAAGAGCTTTATCGCGACTGGGAAATACGACGTTTCTCCGAAGTCTTTTCCCGGAGTTCTTGCGCCATTACCGGGGCTCTCCTACGGATCTCCGAGTGTAAAATCTACACGAGTCGGGCACCATTCCGGGAATTGTACGGAAAACATTACAGCCAATCGCGGCCCTCCTATCCCCTATTCTCCCATTCCTTATTTCCGCCGCCGGAAGGGGAAAAGTATTCCGGATTTCTTTACGCTTTTCCCATATCTCCAGCTACAATGGAGGCCCCGTCGCGGGTTCAACGTCAAAGCCCCGATATCTCGATACGAGGCGAAATCAATTACGAGAAATTTTTATCCAGGAGAAATTTTCGGAAGAAGTTTTAATCCAGGTCGATAAATTAAAATTCTCCGAGTGTGAAAATCTACACGAATCGGGCACTGATCCAGGAATTGTATGGAAGACATTACAGCCAATCGCGGCCCTCCTATCCCCTATTCTCCCATTCCATATTTCCGCCGCCGGAAGGGGAAAAGTATTCCGGATTTCTTTACGCTTTTCCCATATCTCGCAGATTTTCCAGAATTAGGGATCCTAACCCCGCCGCGTCTCGTCGGGGTAAGATAGAGCGAAAAAGAGCGCACGGAGCGAGTCCGAGAATCGGACGGATACGACTTTGGAGGGCAGTCGATTGCTTACCTTCCGATTTGGGTGCCGGTGGTTTGCGGGTCGCCCAGTTCGTCCGGATGCTCCTGCTGCCGAGCCACTGGCCGTTCATGGCGCCGATCGCGCTCTCCGCCTCCTGGAACAAAGATTTGATAAGACACGGCCCGAGGGAACTATTAACTTCGAGATTAGGGAAAACGATCTACTTCTCTGAGAACCGACAGTCTTTCATTTCATTTGATAAAGGACACGGCGATTCGGTGACAAGGGACGGCCGGCCTTAAGATTGTGACAGAGTTTCAGTGATTCGATTTCCAACGATCTCCAGTGATTTCTTAATGATCTCAGGCGATAAGGTGACGGGAAAGTCGCTATTCAGAAATCTCGTTTATGAAACTTTTCACCGAATTGAGGGTACCAAATTGTTTTGAACTTTATACCGTGAATATGGAGGCTAGAAGGAAAGTCTTGGCGTCCATGAAAATTCATTATCTAAATCATATCTTTGCAGGTATTTTAAAAATTGTTCATAAAAAATGAAATTTCATCTGGGTCAGGACCTTCCTCATAGTCTTCACGTTCACGTTGTGAAGTTTGATACGATTCGGTAGCCCCAGTTCAGAGAAAGATGTCATGAACGATTGAGTCTTCGGATGGCACTTTGACAATCCCTTAAAATTTCATGATTTCCTAAATGACTGCTCGGCACGGCTAGGGGAAGGAATTGCCCGAGATCCGATCGACCTCTGACCTCAAACCCTAGGTTCCCCTAGTAGCGATAATCGTGGACCTGGTTTCCGCAAAGTTAACGAAACCCCGTTCCGGGCGATTTTAACGAAACGGGAAAGGAGAAAGGAGAAACGAGAAACGGCGTCCGGGATTTTCCGAATTCGTCGAGGGAGAGTTCGCCCGTCTCGGCAGTCCATTCCTCAGCCGAAGACTCGATATAAATGGGACGGAAACGACGAGGGAGCGTCCCGACGCGGCGACGCGAACGACCGTCGCGTCCGGACTCGTCGGGGAAATAGCGTCGGCAGGGGACCGGAAATTCCGGCGAAAAGGTCGCCCGTTCTCGTAGGTGTGCCGCGCGGGTCGCCATTTTGCGGGATTTCGGCCCGGGGGCAGAGGGGGCTCCCGCCCCCGGGATAAAGTATTTCCGATTCGAATTTCCATTCCTCGATATGATGCCGCCACGTTCGCGCGGTTACCCCAGATAGAGTAACCGGAAGCCGGTCGAGGGTCCAGGTCCCCGCGATCCAGATCGACATCCTTTTCCGCGGAGCGGGATGAGCATTCGCTCCCCATTTGGGAGAAAGAGTGCCCTGAAATAAAGGGGGCGTCTCGAGGCGTCTCGGCGTCGATCTAACGAAGACATGAATTTTACGGGGGGTTGCTATGGACGCCCTTAAGGTGAAGTGAAACACGTCGAGGAGCTTGATCAACGTCAATAAAGAAGATTCTTCCAAATGCCTACGTTGCTGACGTTGGTTTTTATGTCGACAGCTGTGTCGAATTATATTGAGTATTGTATCAAATGGCAAACTCCACCTGTCGTTTTCGTACGATAAATATCAAGAAATCGAAGTAAAACTCCAGAAATCCTCTGGATTCGTGCTTTCCGGGGCCCTAATTGACTGCAGAGGGACCCCCTGCGCCATCTGTGATTTCCAGGTCGCTTAAATTTTCACTCCGAGACCTCGTATTCCTATTGTTTCGGCATAGAAGCGCATACAACACTTGTTTTGCCTTTATCCCGTTCAAATGCGAGTTTATCGACTACTCGGTTTAAAATTTTGTAAAAAAAATCCGAAATTTCAATGTGTCAGGACAATTCTTAGATGATCAGGAGTGACGTGTCAAAGTTTCGGACGGTTTGGTCTAACACCCTTAAAAAAAAGTGTTGTACTCGAATCGACTGATTTGAAAAGGGGGTTTCACTTCACCTTAAACATACCCCGGCTACTTATACCGCCGGGTACGCGTAACTCGTCGGTCATTTATATCTTCCGTATCTAGGCTGCCCCGAGTGTGACGCGTCGCGAAAGGGGTGCGTTCCCATGCCGAGGACACGCTGCGCGACACTTTCCAAAGACGCCCAGAGGGTGGAAAAAAACGACCCCGCATGTATTATCGAGTTATTACTCGATCAGTGGTGCGAGCGACTCGCTTACGTGGCCGAAGGAAACTTTTCTCCCCCCGAGGAGGGTGCGAGTGCGCGCGGTGGGACGCCCCGCGTCCTCCACCCGACGTCGTCGTCCGGAAAACCCGTCTATGTCCGAGATACGAGCAACATATCGGGACTAGGTCCTCGTCCTGGGCTCGGAAAACCGCGAAAACGGAGATAGTAGGAACGGTTCGGTCCCTGGAACGATTCCCCGGGTTTCGGGGTCCCATCCGGTCGTGCCTTGCGTCTCCGCGGCGGCGATGGAGAGGCGGGGAAATTTATGCTCGGGTGCCGTGCCGGCTTCGGCAATAGTAATCTCGTAGAAGCCAGGAGTGGGTAGGTGAAGATGCCGGTCCAGATCGATAGGGACATTAAAACAGGGACGCCGAGTCCTAGCGGCTTCCAGGGCACTCCTTCCCCTCACCCTCTCCGAGCCGTCTGCGCGCCGTAAACGCGGCGGATCCTCCGGGGCACGTACGGGCCGCGGCCGGGTCGCGGGATCCGCGCGGCCGTGATTTACGTCGCGGATTTTCGGCACCCCGGCTCGACGGGACACGTCGCTGGCCCGCGAAACGACCCAGTAAAACGTAAAGCCTAACCTCGGCTCGACACGCACGTACGGCCGCGTCCGGGCGCCGGTGCGGCTCTCGATGCGGCCCCTAATGCGGACCTGGTGCGGCCCGCGATGGCCGTTCGCGGCCGAACCGGAATGGCCAACTATTTCGGCGCCTCGTTTCGGGGGAGGCCGTTACCACATCTCGGGCAAAGTTTTAGAGCTCCCGAACGAGATTTAGGAGGAAATAAGGGATGCCGCGGGAATTAAGGCCGAGATGGCCGATCATAAACGTGGCTCGAGTGGTTTCGTCATTTCTCCCGAGGCGAGAAGGGGACCGCGTTTTCTAGGGCGGCCGAAACGCGTCGTCCCGACGGCGGGAAGAGAGGAGTCTCGAGGGGAGACGACAAGTTCCCGGCGAGGCGTCCCGACGCGCGATATTCGTTTTAATATCGAGCTTGGCTTCGCTCCGAGGGGTCGCGAGGGCGGAAAACTCGAGGGCGAGGGGCTGGAAAAGTCTAGCCCTCTCCGGATCGCGGGGCCGCCCGCGGATTTCCAAGCGGAACGACTTCGGGACGCGTTCTCGGTTACGGGAAGGACTCGCGATCGATTCCGGCTAGACTCGGGGCAAAAACTTAAACCCTGGGTCGTATTTCCGGCCGCGGCCGTCGCGTTAAATCGCGCCGCCACCCCGGAACTCGGGCGGAAGAATCGCGCGGATCTCTCCGGTAAGTTTCTTCCGACCTCCCGGGGGCTGATCCGTCGTCTCGGTGCGGGAAATTGAATGCAAGGAACACTTACCGCCTTCTTGACGAAGGACACGAATCCATAGCCCTTGGACTTGAGCGTCTGCGGGTCCCTCACCACTCTACAGTCCCTAAAACGGAGAAACGAAATTCTTTAACGCAGATAATCAGTAGGTCAGGGTTTCGCGCCTATACGTGTGTGCATTTGGCGCGAAACTCCACCTTAGGGTTACTTAATACATCACGACGATGGCGTAGTTCGGTCTAAAGTGCGCTTTTCTCTTTTCCTCTCGGGCAGTGATTCTACCGGAGCGAATTTCTTTAACGCAGATAATGAGTAGGTCAGGGTTTCGGGTCTATACATCTGTGCATTTGGCGCGAAGCTCTACCTTAGGGTTACTTAATACATCCCGGCGATGGCGTAGTTCGGTCGAGAACGCGCATCTCTGTTTTCCTCTCGGACAGTGATTTCATCGAAAGGAAATTTTTTAACGCAGATAATGACTAGGTCAGGGTTTCGCGCCTCCACGAGTGTGCATTTGGCGCGAAACTCCACCTTAGGGTTTCTCAATACATCCCGGCGATGGCGTAGTTCGGTCGAGAGCGCGCATTTCTCTTTTCCTCTCGGGCAGTGATTTCACCGATGGCCGCCCCCGGGGGCGGTCGCGGCCGTTATCCCGAGCAGCGGGGCAAACGCGGCGGATCGTCCGCGAGCAAACGAGCGGGCAAAGTGACACCCTGCCAAGTTATTAGAGAGGAGATTGATGAAGCGTCGCCGGGTGGAAGCCGGCGGCGCATTTTTCACCTGGCGAGGCGTCGCTTATTCCGCGGTCTCCCGGTTCCGCGCGCGGTTCCGCCGCACAAAGGCATTTCCGCTGAGTCGGCCGTCGCGGTCCTTAACGAGTCTCGATGCGTCCCGGGGGTTGGATTTCGACCGCGCCTCGAATCGTTGCGTTTCCGCGACTCGCCCCCTTGTCGTGCGAATTAAATCCCAAGATTTATCGCGCCAATAACGGCGCGTTAATTCGCGATTCCGCGGCCGCGGCCGTTCGCGCCGCCGTAGAGGGGCGCGGAAGGGCCACGCGTCGCGACGCCGCCCTCGGGGTGGCCTTCGGGGCATTTGTCAATCCCGACTCTTTTACCTCCGCGGCGCGGAAACCGCCGCCTTTCGGTTTGATCGATAGCATTAATTATCGGCGTTAACGGCGCCGTCAGATAAAACGCCGAAGCCGTCGAGCGGCGCGTAAATCAAGGCTCCTGCCTTGGCCCGTTCGTTAAAAGTCAAAGGCGCAAAATTGCCACGGCCGGATTTAGCCCCGGACGTCCCGTCGATATTGCGGCAAATCGCCGGGAACGACGGCTTACCCGGAATTTATTTCGGAACGAGCCACGGTTTCCGGAGGGATATCGGTAATCTCGACGGCGAGGAGGCCGAAACCTCCTCGGAGAGGGTTGCGAAGTAGTCCGGCCAGGGGGGCGGTCGGCCGACTGACTTTCCGCCGGCGTTTTTCCGCCCGGCCGGCATAACGAGGGAAAAATTAAGAGCCCTCGATACGAGGGCGCCTACTTCGGCTACTCGAATGAGATAAAGTTTGGAAACGTCGAGACTCGCGCCTAGGGGTAAAAAGCGACGGCGACGCCGAAATCTCTGACCGGCGACCGTTTTGAGACCTCTCCGACCTAGATTTCTTTTTTAGGGGGCCTTACCGAGTCGATTTCGATTTTTTCTCAGGTTCGCTTCGGACTCTCCGTCGACGCTCGAGACTCCCCGAGGTCGAGTTAGTCCGTGACGACCGAGATAATACTTTTCCCCGTTCCCTTGGGGGAGTGCACCCTCCGTGGGAGCTCCTCGTTCCCCAGGGCATTCCTAATTTCCCACAGGCAACCGCCGGCATCTTAATTGTCAGGAAGAATTCGGGGCTGTCCGAAACGCGCCGCGTATGTGCTCTCCCCTAACGCGCCCCTAACGCAGGGGTGGCTCTCCTCCCCCGAACGAGGCCGAAGTCGAGAAATTTTGCGATTATGCTTCTCGGCCCCTCGGGGGGAATTTAAGCGACTCCACGCTGCCCGAATTCTATTGGGTTGATGCACAAGTCATTGCGCATTTTTTCAAATATAAAAATCCGTAGGTCGAGGGGGGCGGATAAGAACTCCGGCGAAGGAGCTAACGAGGGTGGAGGCTGGCGGAGGGAGAAAGAAAGTGGTGCCGACCGTAACGTCGCCGGCGAGCAAAAACCAACACATTTGGCGTGATTAAAGAAAGCTCTAGGGACTCTCGATGGGGCGTAAAGCGTCGTTAATTGTCTGGCTAAGGCCGTTGCACGGAGCCCTAACGGCCTCGGACCCCCCGCGAAGGTCCCGGAAGCGACCGGCTCCCTTCCGCGTTAAGGTGATGTGAAAGTGACGTCGAGGAGGTCTCCTTTATGAAACTTTTTTCCAAACTGGGTGTACCTGAATCGTTTCAAGCTTTACAATATAAATATGGAGGGTACAAGAAAGGTCTTGAAACTCATGAGATTTCTATTTTTGTCCACATTTGTTCATAGATATTTTAGTAATTAAAAAAAAAAAAAATGAAATTTCACGATTGTCAGGACCTTCCTTATAGCTTATGTACTCACGTTGTGAAATTTCAAACGATTTGGTACACTCGGTTCGGCGAAACGTTTCATAAACGATTAACCCGCGGATGAACACTTTCATATCCCCTTAACCACTCGCGCTGTCAACTAAGCCACGTGTATCTCGACGCACGTGGCACGTCTTCCCAGGGGAAGTCGTTAAACGTTCAGGTACGCGATCTCGCGTCGTTTTGACGTTTATAGACTCGGCGCCGAAAAGAAAAATCGACGTCGACGCGGGGCGTCGGGTAACGCGAGGTCAAAGTTCGACGGACGATGACACCCTTTGAAGTAGATGAAGCGGAGTTCGGGAAACGATCGACCCTCCTCGAAGGAGCCTGGAAAAATACGCGAAGTGGTTTCGGCGCCGAGCCGCCCGTCGGGAAATTCCTGCGGAATCCTGAGTAGGTCGCCCGGGCGTCCCGACGCCCGCGGCGGAGCGCCTTATCCCGAACTCGAGGATAAGGGAGGGCCCGATCTCGAGCGTGGAGGCGCCGAAAGGAGAGGGTCTTTCTTTAACCTCAGGCCATTAGTCGCCCCCGAAATGGAAGTATTCAATAAACATCCGTCGATTTTATTTCGTCTTCTCGACCTGCCGGTCGATCCCCTTTATCGTCCTTGTCCCTTCCCCTTTAAGGACCACTTAAAGGGCAACGACCCCGGGAATCGGCGAACGCGCCTTCTGGACTAAATCGCCCGTTCTCCGGGTTCTCCCTTTAAATCGTGCGTGGGGTAGGTTCCTCCTTTTATTTAGCTTTGTTACGCGGGATTTATGAACCGTGGAAGGCAGCGGAGCAATTATCGGGATATCGCGCCGTTATTTCCGGGACAAGTCGGGGGAAAAAAGTATTGGGTTGATGCATAAGTCATTGCGCATTTTTTTAAATATAAAAATCCGCCCAGAAATTAAATGTTTTAACATGACGTTATATGTTATTTTAAAGAGAAATTTTTCCTCCACGAGACTGTGTTTTAATATTTTTCTTAGATTTAATTTTGTGAGTCCATTTCTTGTGCCAATTCTCTGGTCGATTGTCGCGGGTTTTCATAGATATGCTGGTTCGATCGCTCTTCGTCAAATTCAACCGGGCGTCCAGAGCGAGTGCTGTCTTTGAGGTCGAAATTTCCATTTTTAAAACGCGAAAACCACCATTGAGCCGTTCTTGTGGTCATAGCTTCTTCTCCGTATATAGCGCAAATTTCACGAGCCGCTTCGGAAGCATTTGAGCCGCGATTAAACTCGATCAAAAGAAAGTGTCGAAAATGCACATTTTTCTCCACTCGACCCTCCATTTTAATTGCCTGAAAATTCCCGAAAATCAAATCTAACAAAAATATTAAAACCCTGTCTCGTAGAGCAAGAATTTCTCTTTAAAATAACATATGTCAGAACATTTAATTTCTGCGCGGATTTTTATATTTGAAAAAATGTGCAATGACTTATGCATCAACCCAATATTTGTATATGTACAGAAACCACTGTGCACTGTGCACATTTCCGGCGCGAGTTTATGTTCAGGGATGGTATTTCGGTGGACGAGACTGCCCTAGCGAAAGGGTTAAAGTTCTCGTTCTCCGGCGGACTCTCGATCAGCCGCTTGATACGCCGATCGCTAATTGAGTATAGACGAAAATGGCCCCGATACCCCGGGCTATTCATTCCAGCCGGCCGAGCACAATGATGGGCATCGCCTTTTTACCCTCTCTCGGTGGGAGCATAAATATCCGGCACCAGGGTGCGAGCTAACGCGAGAATCATCCGATCGGTCCTCGAGCCCGTTCGCTCTCTCGGTCCCGATATCCAATAATTCCCGCACGAAATTCCCCGGAAGATTACGCCGAGCGATTCGAAATCCGACTCGAGTGAGCTCGACGACGGGCTCGGGTGGAGGCGCCGGAAAGGAATGGGCGCCGGAAGCGATTCCCCCCCTGTTTTAAATTTCCTAGGGAGTTCCGGATGTTTGCGGGGAAATTCGAGAGATCGCCGGGCCGGGGGTCGAGGGCACTGCCGGGTGAATAATTCGGATTTATTAATTTTTTAACAGCCAGCCGCGAGGGAGGCTCGACGAGTCGCCACCCCCGCGGGGGTAGGTGGTGATATCTATTTGTAATTTCGTCGTGTAAGCCGGTTATTAATGCCCCACCCCATCCCCCTCGGTCGGTACCGATATGACACGGGGTACGCGCGGCAGCCCATATCCAAAGGGTTAACTACCCCCGGCGTAGGCGAGATTATTAAGCGGAAAATTAACTGCAAAATGCTCCGTTTTACTGGTCGGGTTATGGTAATTTTAATAACATATTTATTGGTCCCCGACTGGGCAGAGCACAAAGGCTGCGGGGGAGGCAAATCCGATAACGGGGGTTGCCGCCGGGGGTGCGGAGCCCGTCCACCTTCTCCCGTACCGATCGCCGAGTTCCGTCAAGCACGCGTGGCTAGGTTTTCCTGCTTCTGGAAAAATGGAGGGAAAGGAAAAAAAAAATAAAGAAAGGGGGTGTCCAGTAACAGG